ACATCACTAAAATAATTTAGATCCGGATCTGAATTTGTGTCAAGCACTAAATCGTTAGATAGAAAAAAGTTAAATGAAAGTGACTCAAAATTGTTTTGATAGGTAGAATCCATTTTTAAAATTTAGGTAATTAGAAATAATAGAATTTATTTTAAAAATCGCACATAACAAGTTTGTTGTAAACGACTTTAGCAAATTTACCTTGAGCTTTTAATTCTTTTGCGTCTTTAAACAATTGTTTTCTTATTTCAAACTTTTGACGCCATAACCATAATTCAAGTCATTGCCAGCATATACATAATTTCTTAGTATTGTTTTAGCGGATGCACTTTCCCTATCGAATTGGTCTTTTTCACAGCAAGGCTTATTAAAGTTGTACCATAGAAGTTTAAAGTTCTTATTTTTGCAGAGCTTGTAACCGAGAGTGGGTATGAAAGAGCCAAATTTTTTAAAAAGGTATGAAAAAAAGTCAATTTTGATTAATTTTAAAAAGAATTTTTTCTTTACTTAAATAGTTACTTTATTGGGTAATATTATAAAATTAAAATAAATTGGATAATGATGCTAATAATCTGTAATACACCTATTTTTGAAAAAAAGAAAAATCAGCTCTTTCATAACATCTTGTCTTTGAAAGAGTCACTCTGTCCTATGAATGAGCCGTAACATTTTTTCTAAAATTAACAAGTCTTCTAGGTGTATAATAAACCTGTTAACTAGACTTCTAAAAGTTTGAATTATATGTTGTATCAGTTTGAATTATATGTTGTATAATTCTATGATAATCAATGATAAAACAAATAATAAAACAGCTTTAATAATAGTTTCACTTTATTATTAAAAATATCCTTAAATAACGTCAACATCCCTTTTTGTAGTCAATACTTGTAAAGACATAATTTTTTTAAAGATAAAAAATATTAAATGAGAATGAAAAAAACAAAAGTATTAATATACACTAGTCAAACGTTCGTAGAAAAATTCATATACACTAGTCAAAAGAACAAATTGTTTTGACTACATCTTGACGATAAATGTCATCTATGAATCATAGTGATTATAAGGCATTTCATATATATTTACTATGCTAGTGATATATGAGTGAATACAATAATACAAAATAAGTTTTGACAAAATGTCAGGAAGTTTGAAACAAAAATAAATTTTAACTATTAAAAAAAATTATTTAAGCTTTAAAACTTTATTATTTTTGAATATATTTTTTAAGATTCAAACGCACCTACATTTTACAACTTTAGGAAAAGTCATTCAAACAATTAATTTTAATAGAATATGATCAATGAAGCATTACGAAAAACCATGAAGTTGTTAAAGCGCAAAACAATTATTTAATTTAAAAAAAAGCTAAATAGAAAAGGCAAGCTTTTTCATAGCATAAAAAAGTGGCTCTTTCAAAAAATTGTATGGTAAAAAAAAATAAACTGAAATTAAACATTTTTTACCGAAACTTTAACCTAACATTATTTGTGGAAAAGAAGGACACACATATATATATATATTACAATGCAGCATATATGTTTTATCAAATAAAATACTCTTTATCTTAAAAATAAATAAGTAAACCCCCAAAAAATTACTTTTTATTTTCAAAATTTTTAGTGTACCCTTAAGACACTATTTATTTTAGTAGAATTCTGAACTTATTTGGGTGACAGGTATCCAGCGTTGCCACACAAAAAGTAAAATAAATAAAAACATCTATATGTATACTTGTGCCTTTTTTCCCGAAGTAGTCCTTCTGATCCTCTCTTAATCACGGGTCTTCTGTGATAGTCTTTGAACCAAAATGCTATTTTTTCATTGAGTTGTTTATAAGCATCATTCTTTGCTGGAAATATATATATATATATATATATATATATATATATATATATATATATATATATATATATATATATATATATATCACATGTCTTTTTCTGCTGTGCATCTCTTAATAGGTGTTTCATATATTCTGTGATGCTGCCTATTAATAGTTTAACACACTCACCAACATTGCATCTACATTTGGAGTATATTGCATGTAAGGTTCACAATTATTCCATTCAAAACAACAACATGTGTCGCAAATAATATTTTTTGCAGACATTTAATCAAAATGTTTTTAAAAAAGTAAAACATTTTAACTAACTAAAAATACGCAAAAGAGATTTATTATAATATAAAAAAATAATACTCAAAATCATACTCAGGAAACATATTTGAAACATATTACCATGGAAACCATTATCATGGAAACATATTATATTAACCATTATCATGGAAACATATTATATTAACCATTATCATGGAAACATATTATATTAACCATTATCATGGAAACATATTATATTAACCATTATCATGGAAACATATTATATTAACCATTATCATGGAAACATATTATATTAACCATTATCACGGAAACATATTATATTAACCATTATCATGGAAACATATTATATTAACCATTATCATGGAAACATATTATATTAACCATTATCATGGAAACATATTATATTAACCATTATCATGGAAACATATTATATTAACCATTATCACGGAAACATATTATATTAACCATTATCATGTCACAATCAATGCATCAAGAGATTAGAATTTTGTTTTTGAGTTGGATTAAAAAATGCCTTCGACACCATTTGGTCAATATTAGTTAAATACCAAGATAAAACAACAAAAAACATATTAAATCCTTATCCTCATTTTGGAGGACAACAGAGGATGTCTTGGAAATCTATCATTCCAGACATTTTTATGATATCTGGGAAAAACTCTTTCCTTTGGGAAAATGATTTACAGTTATTCATTAACTGAAAAAAACTTTTTCTCGTTAATGTTATCATAATATATATTTATTGTAACAGCAAATAAATTGTAAAAGAATAAATGATTATGGTATGAGGCAGACACATATGTTTTTGTATAAACTAATGCACAGTATATAAACTTAAAAGATCGTATGTTATGATGGCATTTGTTCTTAAATTGGAAATTGAAGAGTTGTCAAAAATAAGTGTTCCTTAATTTATTTTTTGAATTTATTTGAGAAAATTTTTTGTTAAATTTGTTAAAATATCATTAAGTATTATTTTTTTTTTACATTATATTTTTTTTACATTATTTTTTTTTTACATTATATTTTTTTTTACATTATATTAGGGGACACCAAGCATAGTTAAAACAATATTGTACTTTTTGAAACTGTAGTCAAATTCCAAATATTATTAATTAAAAATGTCATAATATTCAAGGATATTAATTATGTTTGAAACTTGACCAATACTTGACCAAAACTTGACCAATACTTGACCAAAACAATTCCATGATATATTCCAACAAACCTTTCAGTTTGGGCTAGTTGGAAAAGATTACGGGGTGAGTTTTCTTTTTTTGGTATTAAGGAGCATTACTTTATAGTACTTTTTAAAAATAAAAATAAAATAATTTATATAATTTATACTGGAAAATAAACAATACTATTGTTTTTTAGCATGAAAAAAGAAAATTTATATTTAAAAAATAGAAATTTTTGATATTTTTGACAATGGAAAAAAAACAAACAAAGCAAATAACTTTTTTTCAAAAAAATATTTTAAAAGTGCAATCCTCATAAAGTATTGTATGTTACTTTTCATTTCAAAATATCGCCTAATAAACATATATATCACATTAAAAAAATGTCAAAATTATAAAAAGTTATCTGATTTGCTTAAAATCCCACAAATCATCATGAAAAACCCAATTTTGAATTTCTTTTCAAAATAAATAACATGTTTGAATATAAAATAATCACTTAAACTATAAATAAATGACCATAATCTATTCGATAGGTGGTGTCGAATTACAATGATTTAAAAAATTCTAAATAACCCCAGTCTCCTCTCCTATAGGTAGTTTTTTTTTTTTTAATGTTTTTGTGTATTTTATTTAATAACTGCTTTTTTCATAAAACTTTATAAATATATATTTGAATATTGAATTTGCTTTCTTTAAAAAAAATATAAATTAGGTACATCTATGTTCTGATATAAATTTTATAAAATATGTCGTATTTATAATTCATTTTTAGTATTTAGTCATGAAGGACAATTTTGCTTAATAATTGCAACATATGTAAAATGAAACCATTTATCACATATACTTTTTTTTTTTTTAACATCTACGCTTCCAACAAGGCTGCAAGCAACCACTAATTAGTGTTGGAAGTTACTGGAAGAGAAAAGATGAAGATTGTAGAGCAAGATAACGTTTGACAGACAACTTAAAAGATTGCAAATTATATGAATCAGGAAAGCAAGATGAAGGAAGCGAATTCCAAAGAACTGATGTTCGAGGAAAAAAACTAGACGAATAAGAGTTTTTGGAGCACTTAGGAACAGTAACAGAAAAAGGATGAGACTTAGTTGAATGACGAGTAACACAAGAATGAATTTTTGTAGATGGCACAAGAGACGCTAGCTCTTTAGAGCAGTGCCCATTATAGTATTTGTAGAAAAGAGAAAGAGAAGCAACATTACGACAATGTGACAGAGGTTAAAGGTTGGCTGCAAGAGTAGGTTTAACTATGTATTCAATACTGTAGTATGGAATCAACAATTAAGTCAATCAAGCCTCATACCCAAATACTGTAGTATGAAACCTACAAACAAATCAATCAAGCCTCAAACAAATAGTAACAAATTTAAATACTTATAATTTTACTGTATAAGCTTAGAAATTCTACTAGTGTGAGAAGATATTATTAAAACCAAACTAAACTTAATATAAAAGTATTACTCAATTCAAAGATATCAGAGTTAAATAACTTCGGATAAAAAAGATATAATTCAATACAAATTATTTTATTTATTTGCTTGATTTTTAGTAAACTAATATAATTTGCATTTATTTCCATGAGCAACATTTATTACAAAAAAATAAATTAAAAAAAGTTATACTTACAAAAACAAAACAAAAAAACAAAAAAAAGCAATACTTAC